GGGGTCAACGCGTTGGCCAACGGGGTCAATGCCATGGCCAGTGGGGTCAACGCGGCCAATGGGGTCAACGCAGCACCCAATGCGGTCAATGCCATGGCCAGTGGGGTCAACTCAGCCAATGGGGTCAACGTGGTGGCCAGTGGGGCCAACGGGGTCAACGCGGTGGGTAACGGGGTCAACGCGGCCAACGGGGTCAACGTGGTGACCAGTGGGGTCAACGTGGCGCCCAACAGGGTCAATGCCATGGCCAGTGGGGTCAATGGGGTCAACGCAGCGCCCAACGGGGTCAACTCAGCCAATGGGGTCAACGTGGCCCACAATGGGGGCAACGCGTTGGCCAACGGGGTCAACTCAGCCAACGGGGTCAACGTGGTGACCAGTGGGGTCAATGTAGTGGCCAGTGGGGTCAATGCGGCCAATGGGGTCAACGCGGCACCCAACGGGGTCAACGTGGCCCCCAATGGGGTCAACACGTTGGCCAACGGGGTCAACACAGCCAATGGGGTCAATGCGGCATCCAGTGGGGTCAACGTAGTGGCCAGTGGGGTCAATGGGGTCAACGCGTTGGCCAACGGGGTCAACACAGCCAATGGGGTCAACGCGGTGCCCAACGAGGTCAACACGGCCAATAGAATCAACGTGGCGCCCAGCAGGGTCAACACGGCACCCGTTGGGGTCAACGCGGCGGGCAGTGGGGTCAGCGCGGCCAACGGGGTCAACGCGTTGGGTCATGGGGTCAATGCGGTGGCCAATGGGGCCAACGCGGCCAACGGGGTCAACGTGTCACCCAACGGGGTCAACACAGCGGCCAATGGGGTCAATGGGGTCAACGCGTTGGCCAACGGCGTCAACGTGTCACCCAATGGGGCCAACGTGGCCCCCAGTGGGGTCAACATAGTGGCCAGTGGGGTCAACACAGCCAATGGGGTCAACATGTTGGCCAACGGGGTCAACGCAACCACCGGGGTCAGCGCAGTGTCCAGTGGGGTCAACGTGGTGGTCAGTGGGGTCACCACGGCACTCAACGGGGTCAACGCGGCCAACGGGGTCACCCTGGCACCCAACGGGCTCAACGTGCTGGCCAACATCAGCGGGGCCAACGCCTTGACCGTGGTGGCCGGTGGGGTGGGCGTGGTGCCCGCCGGGGTGGGCGTGGCCCCGGGGCTGGGCGTGGCCCCGGGGCTGGGCGTGGCCCCGGGGCTGGGCGTGGCCGGACGGCGCAGTGAGGCCGGGACAGCCGGCACAGGTGTGGCACAAGGTGTGGCACAAGGGGGTGGCAGAAGGGGTCACACAGGTGGCACAGTTTGTGGCACAGGTGTGGTACAAGGAGTGACACAGGTGTGGCACAAGGAGGTGGCACAAGGAGTGGCACAGCTGGCACAGGTGTGGCACAGGTGTGGCACAAGATGTGACACAGATGTGGCACAAGGAGGTGGCACAGCTGGTGGCAGAAGGGGTCACACAGGTGTGTCACAGGTGTGTCACAGGTGTGGCACAAGGTGTGGCACAAGGAGGTGGCACAGGTGTCACAGGTGTGGCACTGGTGTGGCACAGCTGGCACAGGTGTGTCACAGGTGTCACAGGTGTCACAGGTGTCACTGGTGTGTCACAGGTGTCACTGGTGTGGCACAGGTGTGGCACAGGTGTGGCACAGGTGTCACAGCTGTCACAGCTGGCACAGGTGTGTCACAGGTGTCACAGGTGTCACAGGTGTGTCACAGTTTGTGGCACAAGGTGGGAAAGGGCAAATTCCGACCCAAAACGGCTCCAAAACGGCCGAAATCCGTCAGTAACGGAGCGAGGCCGCGGCGTCCCTGGTGGTGGACAGAGGGACACGCGGACAGATGGACGCCCGAGACGATGGACAGATGGACACCTGGCCCAATAGAGACCTGGCGGATGGACAGATGGACGCTTGGGCAGCTGGACAGATGGACGCCTGGCTGAGGGAGAGATGGACAGATGGACACCTGGAGCCATGGACACCTGGCCTGATGGACAGATGGACAGATGGACAGATGGACACTTGGGCTGATGGACAGATGGACACTTGGCCCAATGGCCACCTGGCCCGATGGACAGATGGACACCTGGACAGACAGACACCTGGACAGACGGACACTTGGCCCGCTGGACACCTGGCCCAATGAACACCTGGACAGACGGACACCTGGACAGACAGACACCTGGGCACCTGGCCCGATGGACAGACGGACACCGGGGCTCGGCCCCGCCCCCCCGGCGGTGCCAGCCCCGCCCCCC